GTATTTCGTCCACAGTTTTACTATTCACAAGCAGTAAATTATAATTTTTTCACTAAAAGTACAACACGGTATACCAACAAAAAAAAAAACGATCCCTCTATTCACACACGCCTAATCAAATTTTCTTTATTTCTCTCTTGCCATCCAATTTCTTANTGCCGTTTTTCATCAAACAATCATGCTTATTTTCTGACCCGAAAATATTTCCAACATTGTTCCCAACTTACATATGTATGTATTTCGTCCACAGTTTTACTATTCACAAGCAGTAAATTATAATTTTTCACTAAAAGTACAACACGGTATACCAACAAAAAAAAATACGATCCCTCTATTCACACACGCCTAATCAAATTTTCTTTATTTCTCTCTTGCCATCCAATTTCTTAAAAAAAAAACAGCTGGAACGTTCCGCTAGCTTGGTTCAGGATGCCGAAAGTGGTGTTGTACGCAAGATACCAAAGAAGAGTGCAACCCATATTACCATGCGCATTTTGATGCAGGCCTTTACGATGACCTTCCTGGCCGAATGGGGCGATCGTTCGCAACTAACCACCATTATTTTGGCCGCCAGCAAGGTGAATGAATATGATTGTTTTTTTTTTTGTTGAATTTTATATTCATTTTCCTATTTGTGATTGCTTGCAGAATGTTTATGGCGTCATTACCGGCGGTATTATTGGCCACTCCATCTGCACCGGTTTGGCTGTAATCGGTGGACGTATGGTGGCCGCTAAAATTTCTGTGCGCACTGTTACANAAAAAACGATCCCTCTATTCACACACGCCTAATCAAATTTTCTTTATTTCTCTCTTGCCATCCAATTTCTTAAAAAAAAAAACAGCTGGAACGTTCCGCTAGCTTGGTTCAGGATGCCGAAAGTGGTGTTGTACGCAAGATACCAAAGAAGAGTGCAACCCATATCACGATGCGCATTTTAATGCAGGCCTTTACGATGACCTTCCTGGCCGAATGGGGCGATCGTTCGCAACTAACCACCATTATTTTGGCCGCCAGCAAGGTGAGTGAATATGATTGTTTTTTTTTTGTTGAATTTTATATTAATTTTTCTATTTGTGATTGCTTGCAGAATGTTTATGGCGTCATTACCGGCGGTATTATTGGCCACTCAATCTGCACCGGTTTGGCTGTAATCGGTGGACGTATGGTGGCCGCTAAAATTTCTGTGCGCACTGTTACAATACTCGGTGGCATTGTATTTATAGGGTTTGCAGTGTACGCTTTGATTGTAAAACCAGACGATATTTAAAGTGCAACTTATACAAAAAAAAAAAAAAATGGAAATTCATGTGCGAAATGACGAGGATAAACGCAACGGAAATATGCAGCATAAAAAATAATTTACTTTAGTTTCAAAATAACACACCAATTCTATATTTTTTACAAAGTAAAGTGCTCAAAGTGTTTTAACAGTTTTCATTTATGTTTTTTTTGTTTCAAATTTATTTAGATAATTTTATAAGATACCGAACTTTAACAAGTAAAGTGCCTTCCTTTTGTCATTTAGAAAATTATTTATTCAAAGAGTTCACAAAAACTGCAGAAAAATGTGCTAAAGCACTATGCAACCATGACATTTTTAGTTGGTTTTTAACATAAAATTTGGCGCGCATTAATTTTTCGAAATTCGTTTGATTTGTAATTCGTTTCGAATTGCTGCATAGCTCTTTCTTATGATGCACTTAAATATACATTTATAAGTTGTTACTATTTGCCAAAATTACTTAATGTAAAACAGTCTGTGTTGCTTACTCTTACAATACATGTTGTTTAAATAAGCTCAGCGTGTGTAACAAAAGTTATATAAATTAAAAAAAAAAAGAAAAAATAATCACTGACTGTATAAGCAATCAAATCCTACCTACTACTGAAATGTTTTGTAAATCCGCTCGAAGATGCAATTGACAAAATTGCCTGCATTGATGTAAATTAAAACGAATAAGAAAAAAAGCTACCAAAAATAAAAGCTTGTTTAGTGAGTGTATTGTATTTAATATGTAAAAAGTGAGAAAAGTAAAAGTGGAGCATCATACAAAAACAAAAATATACTAGTAAAATAAACTCAGCAAATTTTAAGCAAAACGTAAAAGACTTGTATTTTCTTTCCTTTTTGTCATAAAAGCGTTTTTTTTTATATTTAAATTTAACAACTTAAAAATCTATGCCAAATTATATTAGATCGATATAGTAGTTT